TCCATGTTTAAGAGCAGGTATTTCATGCCCTTTAGCTTGTGGGGTCATTTGCTTGTTGATATTAGTAGGAAGAATGGTATATTTGCATCCTTCTTAAGCGTTTTTAAAGAGAGTTGTCGCATTGCATTGGATGAGAAGTTGGATTTTATGAAACCGGATTTGGTTGCCTGTAATGCGGCTTTAGAGGGTTGTTGTCGTGAGCAAGAATCTGTGGCTGATGCTGAAAATGTTGTGGAAACTATGTCGGTCTTAGGTGTTAGGCCTGATGAATTCAGTTTTGGTTTTCTTGCTTATCTGTATGCATTGAAAGGGCTTGAAGATAAAATAAATGAACTAGAGAAATTGATTGATGGATTTGGTTTTGAAAACAAAAGTATGTTTTATTGTAATTTGATCAGTGGCTATGTCAAGTCGCAAAATTTGGAGCCTGTTTCTGCAGTTATACTGCGTAGTTTGAGGGAAGGAGAAGAATCGTCCTTTGGTGAAGAGACTTACTGTGAGATAGTTAGAGGATTTCTTGAGAGTAGAAATATTAAGGGTCTAGCAGCTTTGATCATTCATGCTCAAAAGTTGGAGTCCTCAATGGTGGCAGTTGATAAATCCGTTGGATTTGGCATTGTTAGTGCTTGTGTTAACCTTGGGTTATCAGATAAAGCACACAGCATTGTGGATGAAATGAATGCCCAGGGAGCCTCCATAGGGCTTGGGGTTTATGTGCCAATCTTGAAGGCTTACTGCAAAGAGCATAGGACTGCTGAAGCTACTCAACTAGTCATGGAGATAAGCAGCTCTGGGCTTCAGTTGGATACAGGCACTTATGATGCTCTAATAGAAGCATCCATGACAAGTCAAGATTTTCAGTCAGCTTTTGCTTTGTTTAGAGACATGAGAGAAGCAAGAGTACCCGATTTGAAGGGAAGTTACTTAACTATAATGACTTGCCTTTTGGAAAACAAAAGGCCTGAGCTAATGGCTGCATTTTTAGATGAAGTTGTTGAGGACCCTCGAGTTGAAGTGAAGACTCATGATTGGAATTCAATTATTCATGCCTTTTGTAAAGCTGGGCGGTTGGAAGATGCAAGGAGAACATTTAGAAGGATGGCATTCCTTCAGTTTGAACCAAATAACCAAACATATTTGTCTCTTATCAATGGGTATGTGAATGCAGAGAAGTATTTCAGTGTGTTAATGTTGTGGAACGAGATGAAACGAAAAATTTCAAATGATTGTGAGAAAAGTCTTAAATTTGATCACGATCTGGTAGATGCATTTGTGTATGCTCTGGTTAAGGGAGGTTTTTTTGATGCAGTTATGCAAGTTGTGGAAAAATCTCAGGAGATGAAGGTTTTTGTCGATAAGTGGAGATACAAGCAAGCTTTCATGGAGACTCATAAAAAGCTTAAGGTGTCAAAGTTGAGAAAGAGAAACTTTAAAAAAATGGAAGCACTTATTGCTTTCAAGAATTGGGCTGGTTTGAATGCATAGATAGGAACAGTTGCTTGAGCTTTCACTAACTCTTCTTGCTACCAAAAGCTTAAACTTGGATTTTCATGTGAGGATCTATAAAGTAGAAGCTATATGATCTTTCAAAATTTGATTGTTTAAGATTGCAAAGATCAGTGACATTTATTAGCATGGTTTGGTACTACATGACAGTTGAGGGGAAAGCTAGAGGATGATCTTCAGGGAAAAGAGACCATTTGAAATTTGACTCGTTCACATGATGGGCCAGATATTTGATTCAGTTTCTTGGATTACTTTGTTCTTCCTTAACATTGCTAATGAAAGTAACAAAGAGGATATTGAGGAGATTGGAAGCTGTTCTTGCTTGCTAGATTATCAGAATGCAGGAATTCATTATTCTATATGGTTTTCTCCAGATTAACAAACTGGAATTAGTTACAGGTCATACATGTTTCTTGTTTGTCAGTCCGAAGTCCTCTTGAGTTGTTAGGTTTCACAATGGAAGAGAGCAGCGTAAATCTTTACATGTATCTGCAGCTAGATGTTATGTTGCCATTAAAAGGAAATGGCAAGGGTGTTTCCATGAGATATAATTTTTTATTCATTCCTCAACAAATGATTTTCTTTTTTTGCATTCAAATAGATTCTTAAAATATGCAATTTTTACTTTTCAGGTTACTCGCCTGAGACTGTTAAGAATACTAAGATATTCTTGAATCTAAGCCGTTTGGATTGATGGCATAAAGTCTAACTCTGGTGTCACTATTTAGTATTCGCTGATCCGCTGTACATGTAATTGCAGTTTGTTTTTTTATGTAAATTTATTCTCTCTCTCTCTCTCGTGTCTTTGGATGTGACGATAAATTAAATCCAAAAACTGGACATTGGAAATTACTGATCCGAAAGTTCAATAGCAAGCTGAACATGTATGGCATTTGATACTTCCAAGCCTTTTTCTTAGTTTCCTGTTCGTTTTTAGGTGTTTGGGACAGGCCGGTAAAAAATGTATTCTTAAAATTTTGGTTGACAAATTTCTTTTGACTGCACATATTGCCGCAACCAAAGAGACCATAGTTATGGATCTATTGTGTAAAATGCGTTATAGCTAGAACCCACATGATGGATTGGCGCTGCTTTTAAGGAAGAAAAAGGAGGATCTTGAAAATAATCGCCTCCACCGAAAAGACCTGTTTCTCCTCTTTTTTTTCAAATATTATCTTATTTGATTTTCTTAATAAATGCTCTGTTATTAGGTTGCTTCATATTTCCTCTTCACTTATCTCTCAACTTTCTTAACCATGTCATCTGCTCTAAGTGCATGGCTCTTCTTCAACGTTCTTCTCATACTCCCTTTGCCACATACCGTCTCTGCTGCAGCTCACAGGATGCCTGGTAATGGTACATGTCAGAACACCTGTGGCACAATCCCTGTGAAGTTCCCCTTTGGTACAGGATTCGGTTGTGGGCACCCTGACTTTGCAAGATATGTAAAATGCAGCTATGGAGCGCTTCAGTTCTCTACAGGCACAGGTATTTACAATATTTCTTCTGTCGATTACCAGAGCAGCACCATGATTGTTGCAGATCCTTTCATGTCAACTTGTTCTTCAATGGAGAACTCTGGAAGCTTTCGTTTGGATCGAGCCAGCCCGTTCACTTTGACACCAGATAATATTTTTGTCTTGCTTGGGTGCTCCACAACATCAACATTGTTTGATCCAGATGATGACTTATGCGATACTGGATCAGTTCTCGGATTTGTAGAGGAATGTATTCCTGCAAAGGATACAGCTTAGATTGGAGCAGAATGCACCCATTTCC